ATGATGGATCCCTCGTCTAGGGTACCAATTATGTGGCAGCGCTTTCCTAGGAATAAACCAAAACGTCTCCGGGGCGATCGATGCAGCTGTTGTGTTGGCATCAAGTACAGACAATCCCGAGGGTCACTCCAGGAAAACCGTCATCAGATGTGTGGTTGGCTCTTCAACGAGGGCGTTTGATATGTGCATCAGATCCATCGGGTTACTACGGTAGGCTACGGCAAGCCAATGCTGCCAGTCCGCATTTATTTATTTTGCGGATTTTCGGGATGTTTTCTGCCGGCAGAATATTTTTGCTTAATAAGTCCCGGAAGTCTAAATAGCAAAGTTCCTTGGGGGTTTAATCCTAGAATTCTATATCGATTTAGTAAAAGTGCTTAGTGATATTTTATTACTTTAATAATCTTTTTATATCAAAAGATATTGATGTTAAATTTTATATATAGACTATATATATAGTAATCTATCTATTCTATTAAAAAAATTTAAAAAAATCTAAGTCTAAAGCTTAAGTATAGGAAATATTCTAGTGAAAATTAAATCTATGTGACGATATATATATCTTCTCTACATATATATAAAATATATATTTTTAACCGTTAAAATTACTCAATATCTTTTTTATAGATTTTTTATAGATATATATATATTTATATAATCTTGATATCTCTAGATCTAGAATTTAAAAATGATATCTCTTAATATAAAAAAGTTGTTAAAATAATAAAATATTACTAAGTATCTATACTAAGCCTGTAGAGAATTCTGGGGTTGAACCCCCAAGTAACATAAGTTGGCTGTTTAGACTTTCGGGCCCTGACTAAGCGACCAAAGCGGTCAACAAAGCAGTGAGTATATCCAACCAAAATCTAGAGGAAAATGAATAAATACGGACTGGCAGCATTGGCTTGCCGTAGGTAGGCAGGGAATACCATCCATTTCCATGAACGTGAGGCAAATGAAACAACGGTCTCAAAACTCCCCCTGTGGAATAATTAAGTTGAGCCAAAATTTCCCGATACCGGAGAAAAGACCGATGAATTAACTAACTCCAGAAGCCACACGGAAAATCCCAGCAGGTAATGGTAAAACTTTGATTAATAACGAGAGCTTGTTGCGTTTCCCTGCACTTGGAAATCGCGGATGTGTACTTTTAGGCTTTCGGCATAAACCCTCGAAAAATACCGGGGCATACCAACCTTACCGGTTACTCTCGCCGGCAACGAGCCGAGTATTTCAATAATTACATAAATTATGCCAGGAATATTTCGGTTCATGTATAAAGAGGAACCCACCACCTCCCCACACAAAAGAGGATCTTCATTCCATTCATTCGCTAGGCCATGATCAGACATGCTAAAATAGTGGATTGAACCTGTGACAGTAAGCATTGTGCCTCATCCCAGGGAAGAAAGCTGTGTGCAGTCAGTCTCCTGACCGCACGCCTTTGATTCATTGCCCGGTATCCTCGAAATTGTCGAGTGCTAATTCCAAACCGAATGGCGGTAGAACAATTCCACAGAAGTCCGCTATTGATCCCTCTAGCTTCCTGAGGAATACTGTCCCTAAGCCTGCGATTCGCACTACTTGGATATTTCCCGACATATGGGTGGATACAGGCGATGAATAGAGCAGGCTGTTGTCAGGTGGAAGAGCGCGGTTTTATCATATTCAAGGGACAATACAGCTGCGATCATTTGGGCCATATCTTGGTGAATGTCTGTGTTGAATATACAAGTGGAAACATTGAATGGGAGGTGCGCAAGTATGACGACGTCAAATACCGTCTGGACTTTGAGCAAGCGCTGTGAACATTGGAGGATGCCTCTTCGTTGTTGATCCGCTGGCCGTGTATATTACTTCAAAATGTATCAGTATCGGGGTTGTCCCTATGGTTGGGTTCCATTCACTGAAACAGGTGCGGCGCATTGTAGGATCAATGGAGAAATGTGGTCTGTTGCCTACTTAGCATCAACAGCAATTAGTCGATGTACGATTGATTGGGTTGAAGGTTTTCTAACTACTGGTCAGGTGGACATATACTCTGCATGCTGCAAGGATTGTTCAGCCGGATTCGATGTAGCCCTAACTAGAACCCACCACACTAACAACTTCTGTTGTTGGGAAGAGAGTGGGGGGTATGCTGTACGAGAGAACAGGGGTACACGCTTGAGATGTAATCAAATTTTATGTCCATTTTAGTATTAATCCGTGAGAGTAAGGTTGTGGACAGTACGTATAAACATCTAACTGTCTCGTACTCAGCAAGTAAAACCCGTACATCGTCCGCTGTTCGACTGTTGTAAATAATGATACAATTTCCAGGCAAGACATACGGCGAAGTTGATCATAAGTTGGGCCCAGCTTTAAGAACCTCGGATCTCGCATGATCTCGCATAACGTTTCGCAGAATTTTGCCCGATGGATTCTTGGGAATCGCATCGAGGAACACAACTCCTCCTGAAACACGCTTAATGTAAGAAACCTTGGAGTTGATGAAGGTAGCGATCTCATCGGCAGTGGCAGTCATCTCTTTTTTCAAAACAACATACGCTCGGGGTCGTTCGTCATCGTTGCTAATGCCCGGTCAGTTATCAGTCATCTCATTGTGCACGTCATGTGCTGGAGCAGGTAGCTTACAATGGAACCCCAATCACCGCCACGTCGGCCACAGCGGGGTGCTCCAAGAGTAGAGCTTCCAGCTCCGCTGGTGCAACTTGGTTGCCCTTTACTTTGATCAACTCCTGGAGCAGGTTAACATAGACGAATTCAATCGGAGATTCAACTGGCAACAGCCCAATATACGGACCTTTTTGCGATCCACGATATACCACTTCCCCTGATTGTCAACATAGCCAATATCTCCCGACTTTAGCCAGCCATCGGTTGTCAAAGTATCTCTGGTTGCGGTAGGATTGCGCCAATACCCTTTCATAACGTTGGGCCCGCGGACCCAGAGCTCGCCTCGTTGATTGCGTCCCAGCTCGGTGACCTCATCTTCAGCCATCACCTTGGCCTCGCAGTTGGGAACGAGCTCGCCCACGCATGCCGAATCCGACCAATCTAGAGGGTGCCATGCCATGACAATCGAAGTGGTTCTATACGTGAGATCGGTCAGCCGTCGTATCAATCACAATCGCTTTTTCCGTGCGGGTGGTGTACGTACTCGGTCATGCCCCAGCCTTGCTTGATATTGACCTTTCCCTCCGGCCACAGGGCTTCCGCCTTCTCGGAAATCTCCCTTCCAAGCGGCGCCGCCCCACAGAAAATGGTTTCCACACTGCTCAAATCGTGCCGTTTGGTTTCGGGGCGCTTCACCATGGACACAACGATTGGAGGCACCAAGGTGAGGTCAGAGATGCGAAACCGTTCAATCGCCTGCAAAAACTTGACAAAATCATACTTGTCCATGATATACACGGGCACGCCGCGCATCAACGCAATGCTTATGAACATGTTCTGCGCCATCGCGTGGTACATGGGCAGTAGGCAGAGCCATTTCCCCCGCGCGATGCGCTCCCGGTGGTCGTTCTGGAGGTAGAACAGGAAGTTGTACTGCAAGATATTGGCGATGATGTTCTTGTGACTCAGCTCCACACCCTTTGGGACGCCCGTGGTGCCGCTCGAGTAGTTCAAGGCCAAGGTCCTGTTGGCCAATTCCGCGGTGGAGAGCTCGTCCCAGGCGAACCGCCGGCCTTCCTCCTCCTCCCCGATCAACTCTCCCCAATACCGATAGTCTGGGCTGGAGAAATCGACCGGCTCCTTCGCTGCGTAGAATGCGTCATTGAATAGAAAGACCTGGTGGGGGCCGAGTCCCGCCATCTTGGCGGCTTGCACACCGGTCTCGATGCTCTTTTCCGCACAGATCAGGTACGTTGCTCCGCTGTCTTTCAACTGGTAGGCCAGCTCCCGTGGGATGTACGCCGGGTTTGCACCGGTGAAAACACCACCGGCCATGAGAATCCCCATGTACACGACGGGGAAGAACAGATTGTTTCCAGAGAAAAACAGGATTCGGTCGCCGGTCTTGATGCCCGACTTACGCAGACCGACCGCAAAGCGTTGGCTCCAAAGTCGGAAATCATCGTGGGTGAGAAAATGGGTATCGGGTCGGGCGGCGTCGATGAAACATGGCTTTGTTTTGGAGATGGGGTGAGTGGGGGATTTGAAGACCAGGGTGGCCAGGTGGGCGTTGGGGACTTCAATCTTCCAACGAGATTTGACTTCCATCGTGATAACAATCAAGTGGTGGTACTAGGTGTAGGCAGAGCAGGGGGTACTGTTGGCGAAATGAAGCCGAGGGGCTCCTTATAAATGCCTGCTACAAAGCCGAACACAACCGTTAGGAGAGTATCCCGGAGAATCTTCTAATTGCCACGGCTGAGGCTACCAATTCTATGACTACCTCTGATGGCTGCCAAATGTTGACCCTAATATTAGAACGGTATAGAAACGGAAGAGTCTTCATTAGGGTCAGCATTGGATGTGCGGCAGTCACGTCGGTAATCCGATTACCTTCTTGTCTTGCAGAAAATCCCGGGCCAAGAGAAAAGGCCGAGCCAATACCCCGAACATTTCGTACTCCGTCCTCGCAGATACACCAAATGCCCAATTGAGTTGCCACTGTAATGTAAGCAGCTGACGTGTACCATTGAACGCTATATGATGATAAACAATGTCACCAATCGACAGCACTTCAGCAATACGGAACATCATTCTTTCTTCACCATGGAAACAGGCCAAGGTGACAGGGCTTTGCATGACTTCCAACCGCTGGCCCATATTCCGCCTCTTCACAATGGCATCCCCCCCGAGTTAATCGACCGGTTTGACCCGGTCTTCGTTGATTACTACCAGAAATACAATGTGGGACGCCTTCACTGGGACGAAGTACCCATCGACGAGTTTCGAGCCAACCCCTCCAAATATACCATCACATACGGCCGCGCCACAGGACCCGATGTTTTTCGAATTACAGAACAAAAATGCCCCGTGCGAGGAGGCGAGATCACGATCCGGATCTTTGAGCCTGCTCCCGTCATGGATAGTACGGGACTCCCAAGGCCGAGAGCAGCATTTGTCAATTTCCATGGCGGCTGTTGGATCGTCGGGGGGCTTTCGAGCGACCATGGGTACTGCAAACAGCTGGTAGATGGCCTCAACGGTGATCTGGTTGTGTTCGACGTGGATTACAGACTAGCCCCTGAGCATCCGTATCCTGTTCCCATAGAGGACTGCTGGGCAGCGTTTCAGTGGGTACGTCAGTAGATGCACGATGAGTATAGCATCAAATCTCACTCGACTAATTGAATTTTCAGATCCGACGGGAGAAGCTGGACGAATTGAATCTCGATCCTATGCGATTCGCCGTCGGTGGAGTGTCTGCAGGGGGCCATATCTCAGCCGTTGTCGCACATCTTTGCAGAGACAACCAAATTCCTTTACGCCTGCAGGTGTTGTGTGTTCCAATCTGTGACTTGCATAATGCTTTCACCCGCGATGGCAATTTTGATTCGGAGTCTTGCCCCTATGAGTCCTATCGGGAGATGCAGTTCAGTGCCGGGATGACACAACACCGGATGCAACACTGCTACCGCCAGTTTGTGGGGCATTTGGGCCAGCAAAGGCAACCAGATGTGAGTTGCCACCCAGTTTGCGAGTCACGGATCGTATCTGAGAAGTATGACAGGATTGGAGAATTTCTCCTATTTTGGCACCCAGTTTTGTGGATCTGGCGCCAGCACTGGTGTACACGGCCGAAATGGACCCTTTGCGCGATGAAGGGGAGGCATACGTAGCAAAGCTGGAGGCTGCTGGCTGTCGAGTTCGTTTTAAGCGTGTGCGTGGGGCTCCTCATTCGTTCGCGGTGCTGGATGGAATACTCGAGTCAGGGAAGATGTTTAACCGAGAGGTGATTGAGGTACTGAAGACAGAGCTTTCATAGGTGTTAGATTTATACTGAAGTGTATTTTCCTGGTCACGAATGAAATCAGCTTCATCCAGAGATATTTTCGCGTATAGCTTGATAATGAAAATGAATAGCGGTGGCAACAGGCTCATTGTGCTGCGGTATAGGGGCCTGACGTAGCCGAGAATTCCATGTATCAGATCGGGCATGACCGAGCCCCAAACATATCCATGGTTTCCATTTACGGAGAGGCAATCCGGCGTCGGCTTTTATTTGGCACTCCTTATGCAGGGAATACCAAAGAACAGAAATGGTGGCTTGTTTTTAGCGTCGGTAAACATCATCTCCTTGAAAGTATAATCTGTGGGATCGGGAATATATAAAGTTGAGCCGCCTGCCCGCTCCTCATTGCACCAAACTTGGTCCTCATGACTAGCCCATTCTATCGACAAAATGGATTCGGACAAAATTTCTGAGCCCTCTGGCGAGGCTACCTCGACTGCTCTGCGCCATATTGAAACAACCAATAGCGTCTTTCTCCCGATTTCCCGTGCTGAATTCGAGAAACTCTACCTGAACCCCAAAACCTCTCACAAAGGTCAGCTTCACAAGACTTTTGGAAACCCTACTCCAATTGCTCTGATGGGATTCCTCATCGCTGCTCTTCCAATGTCCTGCATTCAGATGGGCTGGAGGGGTGCTGGTGGGAACGGTGGTGCCATTCTGTGAGTAATGCTGTAGTGACGGTGTCAGTTTGCGTGGAACTGAGCAGATTTCGCCAGCCCCGTATACATCATTTTTGGCGGGTTTGTGCAGTACCTTGGCGCTATTGGCGAATGGATCATAGGGAACACCTACCCATGTGCCCTGTTCTTCACATACGGTAAATAGTAGCCAGAAGAGCGGTGCTGGGGTCATGGCTTGCGGAACTGATACGTGATAACCAACAGGATCGTTCTGGCTCGTGAATGGGGCATCGCTCATGCCTTTCTTTGGAGTCGGCACCAATTACTCTCCTACGGGCAACAGCCTCGAAGGTCAAGCAACGCCCATGTTCTATTCTACCGTTGGTGGGTGTTCGTCCACACCCTTTTTATATCCAAGCAATTCTGACTGTTGACTGGAAGCATTTTTCTACGTGTTCCTCGGCGTTCTGACGTTTATTTATACGATTTGCGCTTTGCGTACTAACTTGTGCCTACTGGTTGGTCTGTTCATGCTCGTCATTGATGTAGGCTTTTTCTGTGGTGTTTACTTTCATCTCGCATTGGGCCATGACGCTTTAGCAGCGAAGCTACAAATTGTATACCACTGACCCCACCCTACCCTTGCTGGAATGATCTTTGTGTGGCTAATTCTTACTGAGGCGGCCGGTGCATTGACCTTCGTCCTTTGCATACCGGTTAGTTACCTTTTTGTCACACAAATCTTTGACGCAGTCGATTTTCCCATCGCTTTACCCGTTGGGGAGTTGGGCACCGCCATTCTCGGCAAATCAGAAAGAGCTCAGAGGCAGGCACGCAAAGTGCAGCAAGACCTGCCGTATGATCTGACTGCGCAAGAAACGCCTGTCTAGTGCAGTGGGAATAAGATGTCTTCTTTCAATTACAAGCTTGGTCAAACAAGAATATCACCATTGAGCCGACCCGTAAGGTCGTACCCAGATAGGGAGCGTACGGGGAACTCAGAAGCATTGAATGTACCAGGGTAAAAAGGAATACGGCTTCCATTTGAAACGTTTTATCCCAATGGTAGATCAACTGAACTAAATCAACAAAGTCAATTGTGCTTGCAACACCAAGAAACTGTTAGAGTAGAGTAAGCACCTCTAATGAGCAATGCGTTTGTAGCCAGGTCCTCGAGTGAGCCCATACTGACTCTTGGGAGGCTGTCAGGCTCTATTCCGGCCGCGGGCTGTAAGTTTAGACTACATCTGGAATGGAGGATGTGGTATCACACTGCCACAGGCATCATTTCTGCCTAAGCAAGTGATTGGTGTAGGGTTGAGCATAGATGACTTGCACCGTGAGAGTGCCACTCCATGTACGCTATCCGCAGTCCGGTGGTTATATATTCCTCGTCACGCCCAACAAATATGACCAACGCGTAGATACCGTTTCCTCAACCAGCCATCCTTCGACATCTTATGCGACTGTCTCTTACTACTCTATCGCACCTCCGATATGTTTAGGCATGGGCAAAAAAGGTAAAACAAATGTTCTTGCATGTATAGCTTCTAAGCTTCTAATATTGAATCCCCTCTAGTAAGAACACATCAAACCCTGCCATTCGAAAGCCCTTCGGGGAGGAGACCTCCAGGATTTTCATCAGTGCCCAGATAATAAGAGATATCCCCGCCAGAGAACTCGACCGCCGAAAATCCATTCCCCAGGAACTCAAACGGATTGCCACTCCAATAGTCAATATGATAATCTTCAAACCGGGGCTCTTTCATGACATCAAAATAGAGCAACCGGGAGCCGGGCCACATGGCTAGCCGGCCATTCTTGTTCCCGTTCTTGAACCAACTGGAACAGGGGCCACTCCATGCCGTGCGCTGGATGTATAGATCTGCGTGCTCTGCAAACTTTTCGCATACATCTGAGCGCGGAGTGACGGCTTTGATGTTCTCTTTTTGCATCTTCTTGACGATAGTGGTAATGTTTTTGACCAGCAGCTCGCTCACGGGCATGTAGGAGCCGTGGCCGAATGGGCCGTAGGGTCCCGCGATGGTGAAGTAGTTTGGAACTGAGGGAGCTGTTAGCCATATTTCCGACGTTGTACGTGGACAACCACTTTGTCTCTTACATGCTGGGATGGCGATGGAGAGGTAGGATATCAGTCTCTCTCGAAACACATCTTGCAGGTTACTTCCATGCGCCACAATTGGGAAGCGAGGGATGAAGGACGTATCGAACCTGTCACAAAGATTAGACGGTAAATAATTCGAAGGGGGTCATGGGTCAGCATACCCAGTCGCACAAATGATGATGTCAACCTTGTGTTCCTTGCCTTCATGGTCGATGAATCCTTCCGGGGTGATCTTCTTCATCATCTGGGTGAAAACATGGACATTTTCACGGGTAAGAGACTCGAGGAATCCATTTCCGGGCTGATGTCAGTGCTGGCTGTCAGCTGTGTTACAAATACGGAGCTGTCTTTTTCGAGAAGGATGTTCATGATGGTTACTGACAGTAGGGCGTCTGCAACCGACACCAAAATCCGTAGGAATAATCTTGTCCGCAATGTCGGATCGGTCCCCGAGCTTTTCCCTCATCTGCTTAGTTGCAAAACGCCTGGCCTGGCTGGCTTCCGGTGTCCCATTGAGAATGAATCTGAAGCGCAAATTCAACTCGTCTTCGATATTCTTGCTGTACCGCTGCAGCTCCAGTGGGTTTTGGCGCCACCGTTTCTTTTGCTCTTCCGAATCTGTATTGCTGTCAGCATTGGATTGGCGGATCTGACAGTTAGTACAATCCCCCCTTACATTCAAAGTTGGACCCGTTCGGCCCGGCATACTGTTGCGCGAAACCGGCTGTCACCCATGTAGGAGACCGGATCCATGTATAGAGCTTTTCCACGTCCGGGGCGATATTCGGTGTAATCTGCACCCCACTACTGCCCGACCCAATGACGGCGACTTTCTTTCCCCTGTAATCAATAGAGGTGTCGTATTGCGCTGAATGCGTAAGAACGCCTTTGAAGTCATGTAGGCCGTCGATGTCCGGCCACCTCCAGGAACTGGTCTCTCGTTTAATATTGGCTCCTGCCATTCGGGGGTCAGCATGCGGAATGACGTACTTCAAAAAGCCCCCATTGTTGATAAACACTTCAGCCTCCTCCACAGAGATCATTCCTGTTCTCAGGTTCTTGACGCTGATTTGCCAGACACCCTTGTCCTCAGCCCAGCACGCGTAGACCACTTCATGTTCAAACTTGAAATATTTGCGTAGGTCGAATCTATCGACAACATCGATGAGATACTGCAAGATATCCTCTCCGTAGGAATAGAAATGCCTCCATTCTGGCTTTCGTGCCCACGTAAACTGAGGTTCTTGGTCAGCGAAGGAGACCAGATAGTTGGATACAAAATCACCCGGTCATACCTGATAGTTGTTGGAAGGCACGTCGCACGCAACACCGGGATACTTATTTTCCAGCCATGTCCCGCCTACTTCGGGGTTCTTTTCAAAGATAGTAAGGCTGAGGTTGTTCACTGTTTCTGGGAGAAATCTAGCCAGGTTGATACCCGAGACACCGGCTCCTAAGGATAAGACACGAAGCGGCCGCTCGGTTCCACATGGCTGCTCTTTGATTTGGTAACCATTAGAGTTTTCCCGTGGCCAACCGTACAATCCAGGGAGTTGTTCAAAATCGGGTAGGGCAGGCTTATCTTCTGCCATATCAACAGAGCCCATGGTGTACAATGATGAGGGTAACTTGAGGTGGTTTCTAGATCCTTAGACAGCCGGTAGTCAGCTCCGTCTCGCTAGCTACTTTAATACACCAGTGTTAGATGTACAGATGCTGTTTAGGAAATATTGCAACCACAATTTGAAGGCATAGCCGCGACGATAACGGTACCGGGATATATTTACCTACCAACGTTTGCCGACTCGGCATATCGCTGAACCTTGTCCCCTCACTCCACAAGATATTGATTCACGAGCCACAGTCATGACCAGCGGATGCCACCAATCATTGGCCAATGTTTGATGTATTTAAGCCGAGTAAATTTGGAGAAAGACTGCGGGCTCGGAGAATGCCTAGCGAAAGACCCCGGCATAGTTTGAAAGCGGTAGTTTCAGGAAGGACACTCGGCATTCAAAACCCAGAAATCATAAATTTCAAGGGAGCGTTTTGGAGTCGGAATACGTAGCATAAACTGCGATCGGATAAATATGAAAATGTTGCCATAGTCCACATACGCAGCCACTGGCCCTCCGGATCAAGGATTGGTGGCGCAATGACACGCAACGAAATTGTTCAACCATTTCGGTGCGATGAAGCACTGCCAATCGTTACATGGAACATTCCATACGATGAAGCGTGTGACAACCACATCTCCAGAACACTGGGCTGTTCACGGCCTTTCCTCATCATCTCCCGCTCCATGAGTAGCACCACCGATGCGGTTGACAGGATCAGCAAGGCACTGTCGAGCGCTCACATCGCAGGGATCCATAGAGGCATGAAGCCCCATACCTGGTATTCTGAAGTTCTGGAAATCAGCAAAGAGATCGAACAATCCGGGGCAGACTCTGTGATTACCATTGGGGGCGGTAGTATTATCGACGGAGCAAAGGCTGCAGTTTTCGTAAGTTACCTTACCCAAACCTCTCTCTGCTTACCTCAAAGTTACCTAGGCTGTTTCAAATGAGGTGGACACCATGCAAACAATGGACGATTTATTCAGAATGAGCCACGAGCGTCTTACACGCGCGGATGGTTCAAGCTGCCCTGGAGTGTTGAGCTCAGAGCTAGGCTTAAAGCCGTCAGCAATACCGATAGTAACTGTCTCGACGACTTTATCGGGCGGAGAGTATAACCATGTTGGTGGGGCTACTAACGATCTCACTAAGCTCAAGCAGCTTTTTGTTGATCCTGCACTGTCAGGGCCTCGCGTGATTGTCCTGGACCCGGTTTTGACTCTGGGTGTCCCTCAACAAGTATGGCTTTCAACCGGCATGAGGGCCATTGATCATTGTGTTGAAAGCTTTTGTGCAAAAGAGGTTACTACCGAGGCGTCTGATACAGCATTAGCCGGGCTGAAACTCTTGATACCTGCATTGCTACGCACCGCGAAGGACCCTAAAGATCTCGACGCTCGCCTTGCCGCTCAGCGCGGGGCATGTGAGAGTATGAAGGGACTATGTGTTTACCAAACGCCTCTAGGTAAATCAAATTCTACCTCCCATGACCCACACACCAAGTGTACACGTGTCAGATCCTGATTTCCACTGCTAGGCGCATCTCACGGCATTGGACATCAACTTGGCCCCTTTGGAGTGCCACATGCAGGTCAGTCCATATCATGCGTGAGATGACTTCTACAGACATTGACTGCCGTCACAGAAACCAGCTGTATCCTGCTCCCCGCAGTGCTGAAGTATAACTATTCGGCAAACTACGAAAGGCAGGCCAAGCTCTTCGCTATAATGTGGGAGGACACAGTGGTGTCCGAGGTCCTGCGAAAACATTCGCTCTCTCCAGGTTCAAGTGATCTTGGGGATCTGTTGGATGCTATTATCTGCGAGCTTGAGCTGCCGCGCAGCTTGAGGAGATATAGAATAGGAGAGGATCAGCTGCGGTCCATTGCAAAAAATAGCTTGAAGGACGCTATGTGCAGGACCAACCCCATTCCTATCACCACCGAGGAACAGGTTATGGCCATTCTAGAGAAATGCTTCTAACGCTTACGGCTGTGTCGCGGCTCTCGATAGGCCAATATACATGTAGGAAGTACATTCTCCTGCCAGAGGAATTTGAACATGACGAAGAGCTTAACACCTCTGAGCTAGCGTGTGAGAAAAATCCAAAGTTCCCTCTTTGATATGCTGTGTCAAACTACCCACTCAAGTCTGTATTGCGTTTCTGCCACTTTCTATCTAGCCGGAGTGAATTTTCATCATTAGAATCATGCCCATTCTCAACCCGTGGACCCTCCTTTTACAAACCTCCATGTACGTGGTAGCAGCGATTTCTAGTTGAGACTGACCCCCCAGTCACTCCCTTCATTACCATTCCTTCGGATCTGAAGTAAAAGTACCACACGAACGTACATGCATGGCCGTAGGTATACCATTCCCGTCTTTATTGAACAAGGCTTGCAGGAGAAGTCCTACTCTAGAAACAACTTTGGTACATGGGGGTCAAAAGTCTGACTACACTAGCGCCTTTCCGCCGACGCGTCAAAAAACTGTACTTTCTTCAACTATCTACTATGCTATCATTATGAGGTCTTTTGGAACCGAAATTAGTAGAAATAGAAAATTGAATCAAGAGCTTTCTACTGAGATACGCACGGCAATTATATCTTATTTAGAGAATAATATATTATCTACTTAACTTACAAAATAATTTAATATCTGTTGCTCTACTATTTACTCAACTAAAAAATACTTTCAGTATTATTATATTTTGAAAAGTAAATCTAGAAAGGGCAGATCTTAGAAGTTTACTTTTACTGAAAAGTACTATATATATCTATTTATCTGCCGGAGATTTAAGATAGACTATAAGATCCTGATTACTAGTAGTAGTTTTTTAATCTTTTACTCTATTATTAAGCGTGTACTTAGAACTTTTTATTTAAAAAAATAGAAGACTAAGAAGTATATATCTCTAAGATCTAATATAGCTAAAAAATATCTTTAATTCGCGTGTATATAGACCAATTCTATCTATTTATCTAAAATAATATTTTCGGACAAATATTCTATCTAACAAAAGTCGAATAATTTAACTCAATATATATTCCGCTTTTCTAATAAAGTATATAGAAAAGATCTAGTTAATCTAACAAACTATAGAAAAGATATTTCTTAAATAGTTTAGGATACTATATAGATTGATAGTCGATCTGAATTAGTTATTCTAAAATAGAATAAATTATTGTCTTGAGATAGATACTCTATTAAATCCTATTTTATCTATCTAGAAAAGGGGCTTCTACTAATCTATAAGTCTGGCTCTATATTTTAATAAAATAATATAAAGATTTATATTTCCTATAAAACACAGGACTGATTTGAAAGATATAGAATTTAGATACCGGATTAATATGTATACTTGTCTAATTTAAATTCTATTAAATATCTCTGGAATCTGCTTAAAAAGAAACTTTTAGAACTCTATTCAGAGCTCTTTCTAAGCAGTAGATTACAGATTGATTAGACACAATTTAGAGAGAGTATTTAAGCTGCTTGGTAGGCTATTTCTCAGGAGCAAATAGACCGCCTTATTCGCTCTATATTATATAGACTTCAGACTGTACACCTGGCACGCGGCTGATATATAAAGTATTGATATAGAGAATCTATATAATCAATTTATAGATTAATATTATTTAAATTGGTTGAGAAAATCGAGTTTGAATTCATTGTATTTTTTGCCGAAATGGCGGGTGTAGTCAGACTTTTGACCCCTAAGTTTACAAAGCAAGTCACTAGTCCACCCAAGTCGAAACGCGTTTACCACCATCCACGACTAGATCAGCGCCAGTGATCAAGCTCGCTTTCTCACCCGCCAGGAAAACGCATGCCTCCGCAATCTCTTCAGGAATGCCCCACCGTTTGACCGGGATGGTGTTGATAACCGGAGCATAATTGGCCCCACGTCGTTCAGACTCCACAGACGCTGTATATCCTTTAGCTTGCGCCGACCTGGTCATGCATGAAGTCACTTACTTGGAGTCTGGACCCAACCCGGCAAAACACAGTTGACACGAATCCCGTCGGTCGCATATGCGATGGCATCCGTCTTGGTCATGCCGAGGACCCCGGCCTTTGTAGCACCGTACTTCAAAAAAGAAATTCATTAGAAAGTCCTAAATTGTGGAAACTGACGATACTTCACTTACTCCGCCAGATGTCGGATGTGACATGATAGCAAATAGCGAGGATACATTGACGATGGAGCCTCGTTGTGGTGGCGCACCAGTTCTATGAAGATATCAGTATCCAGACAGTGTTATGAACTATCGGCAGCCTCTCACCTCGGCACAAGCTCTGTATCTTGCTTCAACATCTGCCTGATCTGAGCTCGTTGGCAAAGCCATGTCCCCTTCAGGTTTACGGCAACCAACGGGTCAAAGGAGGATGTTTCGAGCTCGTGGGTCCTCGCACGGGGATTACAGGTGATTCCCACGTTGTTGACCGCGTAGTGGATTCCCCCAAAAGCTTTCACACCGGCGTCGATGAACGCTTGCACTTCTGTTTCGGAAGAGATATCGACCTTCTTAACGACGGTCTGTACGGAGGAATCGAGCGCTTTCAGCTCTTTCGCCACGAGGTCGAGATCTTTCTTGTTGATGTCGCCCAGTAGAAGACGCGTACACCCTTCCTTGACGAAGGTATGGGCGATCGCTCGACCGATTCCGGATGCAGCACCGGTCACCAGTGCGACTCTGCGGAGATTCATTAGCGTCCGTAGTATATTGACTTCCTGCATACTTTACCCTTTCATGTATGTGATTGCTGGTGTCATTTTTTAGAAACAGGAAATAATATTTGGCGGAAGATATCTGTGTCCTTTCTAACCATTGGGGTAACACGCCACGTCCGTCATTTTATATCTCGATCCCAAAATCACACGCATATATTCGGCGAACGACTCAGGATCTCTCGGGAAATCGCAGTGGGCGTAACAGTTCGGGAATCAGTGGATGCTCGGTAAAGTACCAAATAGGAAGGTTAGCTGGCAATACAATTGAAGACAACGACAGGGACCTGAACATTGTTGAGCTAGCGTATACCGAAGCCCTACTGACCTGACGGATCGGCTTTCCCCTCAGCCCCTCAACCCCGCATGCACCTGAGATGGTACTGAATTCGGTTTGATAGATTGCTTGGGGTGTTTGGTTGGCTTGGCCTAATATTGCGATAGTAGTGTAGTTGAACTCCAGTGAAGAGTCAGAAGCAGCTACGTAAAAGTGTGTTATTCAGTGGTCATCTGTACTGTGATACCATCCCCAGCAATCTCATTTGCCCTTACATTGTGCTACTCACAGTATCTTTATTGCAGTCCGATAAGCCTTGTATATCGTTCTCGAGTTATATAGCCCTACAGAGTATGGTGGGGAGCAATACAGCTCTACAGCATATTGAAAGGAGTAATAGAGCAAAAGTAATAAAAGCCATGTAACAAGCTCCAGAATGTCCCTGTGATCTTCCTAGTTGTACGTCAAATTGACAAAGACGGTTTTCGTCTCCGTGTAATGCTCCAACGCTTGCTTTCCACACTCACGGCCGAGGCCACTTTGTTTGCTGCCTCCGAAAGGTGCCGATAGGAAATACCTGCTGATGCAGTTCACCCCTACCATACCCGAGTCAAACTCCGTAGCCACGCGCAAGGCCTTGTTGATGTCCTGGGTGAAAACCCCGGCCATCAAGCCATACTCGGTAGCATTGGCCTTCTTGATGACCTCCTCTTCTGTTTGAAAGGTGTTGATAATGGACACAGGACCAAAGACCTCCTGCTGATATATCTCGGCATCCTGCGGCACTCCACTAAACACCGTCGGCTCCAAGAACCACCCCGTTGTACCTACTCGCTTTCCTCCAGTGACGAGGGAGCCACTCTTCGTACCCCGCTCAATAAACCCAGTCACCCGGTTGAACTGGGCTTCATCAGCCAACGGCCCCATGGTCGTGGAGTCGTGGTCCGGGTCGCCGATCGATTGGCCCCGTTGCTCCAACGCCGCCTTGTATCTGGCGGTGAACTCGGCCTGGATGCTTTCCTGGACATAGATTCTCGTCGCAGCAAAGCATATCTGACCCGAGTTGATGGCGAGCGCATTGACACACCACGTCACCGCATTATCAAGATTGCAGTCTTCAAAGATGACCGCGGGCGACTTGCCGCCCAGTTCCAGCGTCACCCGCTTCAGATTCGACTCCGCCGCCATCTTCTGAATGAGCTTTCCCGTCGGCACCGATCCCGTGAAGCTAATTTTGCGAATCTTCATATGTCTTGCCAGTAAGGCGCCGGTACTGCCATCCCCGGGTAGCACTTGAAAGACACCAGCCGGGAATCCAGCCTCTTTGATCAAGTCTCCGAGGGCCAGCGCAGCGAATGGAGTCTTTTCTGAGGGTTTCAAGATGAAGCAGTTTCCAGTTGCCAAGGCAGGAGCTGCTTTCATCCCCGCGAGGGCAAGCGGCCCATTCCAGGGGACGATTCCCGCCGTCACCCCGAGGGGTTCATGGCGTGTGATCTTTAAGAAGCCATCGTTCGCGGGGTAGGACTGGCCGGTGAACTTATCAATCCAGCCGGCGTAATATCGGAAGGCTTCGGCGAACAGGCCGGTTTCGAATTCACCAAAGGCCTTGTATGGCGCGCCCATAGTGAGTCGGGTCAGCTCGGCCAGCATGACGGTGTTTTTTTCGACTAGGGATGCGAAGTTTGTCAGGATGGTGCGACGCTCCAGTTCTGTCAATGCCTTCCACGTAGGAAAGGCGGCTTCGGCGGCGGTCACTGCGGCATCAACGTCCTCCTGTCCGGCGACGGGGACCCGATCCGAAACTAGGGAATTGTCCTTGGGATTGTACACTGATAGATACTTGGATGTCCTTGATTCGACGTGTTCGTTGTTGATGAACAGCTTGGTGGGCAATTGCCGCGGGGAAGAAGTGACGGGAGCCATTATGACGCTCGAGGGAGGAGTTGACGAACTGTAGTGGAAACAAAGTGGGAGGTTGGGTTGCATAGGGATTCGACAATGTGATGTGAAGCAACACGGTTCATATACGCTGCTGCTCTATCAGATCTGCTGCATAAGCGGGAACAGCGACGGTATCGGCAAATACGACTTGAGCAGGAGTGAATCATTCCTTTTACTATGCTCGGCCAAGACTCTCTAAGTAGTGTTGCTTTCGGCAAATGCAGCTTGAGCAGGAGTGAAGCATTCCTTTTACAATGCTCGGCCAAGACTCTCTGTGCAGCGTTGCTTTCGGCCAATCGTAGGATTCGTCGATTGCCGAATATGTTGCGGTTTATCCCAGAACACAATCAAGTCTCCTGCTTATTGCAACACCAACATTTTGATACTCCTATGCGGCTTTCGGCATTTTTCTACTGTCCAGCACCAAGCTTGGGGAGGCGTTCGTCGTAATCCTAACAACATTGGAAAAGAATATAAGTATGTTTCCACATACAGCGACGGAGGTTCGCAACTTAGTTCCCACCCAGCCAAAATGTCACAGTCAGCGTGCGAGATCCCAGAGGAATGCTGGGCAGGTGGTAAGGTCACTTTACACCATTGAAAGGAGAAGGCTGACCCATCCAGTTGTGAAGAACGAAGGGCCAGACTTCCACGTGGAGATCGAGAAGGTCCCCGTCCCCGAGATTGGTATGAGATTCTGTCCCGACGTAACTGCAACAAATGCTCACTTTCCAGGCCCGGAGGATGTCCTCATCCGACTGAATACCACCGGCCTGTGCCTAAGCGATGTCCACTTGATGAGTAACGATTGGAACCTCCCCAAAATGTCCGCTATGGGTACGAAATGCGCCGGCCACGAGGGGGCAGGCGTGATTGTCAAAGTGGGCGAACGAGTCAAATGCCTGAAGGTGGGTCAGCGCGCAGGCTACAAGCCAATCCATGATGTCTGCCATACGTGCGAGGCCTGTAAATCTGGTCGGGAAACCTACTGCCTGAGTGCGATTTACACCGGGTGCCATGTCAATGGTGAAATATCCTTATCAGCCTGATCGGCGGTTCGACTGACACTAGATGCAGGGTCCTATCAGGAGTATATTGTGAGTCCCGAACGATACACCTCCCTCATCCCCGATGGCGTGTCGGACTACGTTGCGGGTCCCATTATGTGCTCGGCGTCGACCGCGTACTCCTCCATCAAAGAGTCCGGCTTGCGCGCGGGCCAGTGGGCGGTATTTCTCGGTACGTTTCCCATCCCCGGAGGTCTCGGCCAAATGACTGACGGTTTCGAGGTGGCGGCGGGGGTGTGGGCATTCAGGGTGTGCAGCTCGCGTCGGCGATGAGTCTGAGAGTCATTGCCGTTGATACCGGAACGGAACGCGCGGCACTTGCCCGGAAGTACGGCGCGGAGGAATTTGTCGACTTTAAGACAGAAGATCCGGTGAAGAAGGTGTTGGAGCTAACCGGCGGTGGTGCGCATGGTGTCTTTGTCACGGCGGTCCAGTCTTACCCCATAGCGCCGAGCTACATGGGTTCTCGTGCCGGTGCAAAGGTGATGTGTATCGGGGTTTCCCCTATGGGGAAATACCATGTTGATTTGGACACGACTCAACTGATCTTCCGGAACCAGTCAGTCCTGGGCACTCTGGTGAGCTCTTTGCAGGACGTTGATGAAACACTGGAGTTCGCGAGAAGAGGGAAGTTGACCTTGAATCCAACGGTGGTTGCTTGTCCAAGCTGAACGAGTCGGTGCAAAAGCTGAAGCAGGGAAATGTGGCCGGCCGTATCGTTCTCGACTTCAACATGCCATGAAGTCTCATGAGGAAGGATCATGGGCCCTTGGTTGCCTTGCAATTGCCAGTATCAACTTAGCAACACCATGGATATTTACTGATTATGGCTCTTATATACCTTAGTCTTTAATACGAGGCATCGTTTGATCTCCGGGCATACATTCAGTTTAGTAACAACGTACGCCAGGAGGACTATCCTTTATTTATAGCTGAGAACACGCCTTCTTAGCCTGCCGAGGCATGACGAGCCTTCCCTCCTATTGGCTTCTCGTATATCCGCCACAAAGCTTCTGTGCGTGACACATTGCTATCAAACTTTCTCGTTCCATATTCGAGCACCATAGTCGATACTTCATAATAGGACCATGCACCCTATGCCCCTCATGGTCCGATATCTGCCCCTACTTTACTGCAAAGACTGATTCCATTTTAGCTCGCAAGTTCTTCAGATTGCAACATATTGGACATGAGCTGTTCGGTCCTTTATTACGATCTAGTTAGTCGCCGTGTCCGATGAAACCATCAGCTTCGAGCCAGGGTTACCTTTACCCGACAAGGCCATTTTCACGACATTGGGTGCATAGAAATACCGTAACATTCCCCGGAACGACAAAGGATGGTCTAGCATTATTAACCGACTCTACCTTCATACTAATAGTAAGTTCCCCTGTAATGCGAGTCCAACACCGGGGAGGGTTGCATTTGCTATGTGCTAACTAACGCGGTCGAACACTGGCCTGGCTCCCAATTGTTGTTAGCTTCGGCTCGGTATTCTTGTGCGTGTGCGCGAGAGTATCTCCTGTGACTTTTCCATTCAGGAAGGTTCGGTAAATCAAGTATCTCGTGGACGGTAGTAACTTTCACCCAGATTAGGAATTCCGAAATGTTGATCCACTGGCAAGCAGCAATTCAATATATAAAAGCGGATGCCGGATGCTGAAGTGTACCTGGGATTTCTCTCGCGCACACATTTTCATCATCCAATGCTGAGCCATAAATATGATTGTTCTGGGAACTTTTTTTGCCTGCATCGTGGCTACTTTGACGCCCGTCGTCGCACACCCCGGATCTGCAAGCCACGCTGTGCCACAAGCGAAGGTTATTTACAACTTCGGTAAAGGCATCTGGCCGGAAAACATGATTGTCCGCCCAAATGGGCATATCATCGGCGGTCTGCTGACCTCACCCGAGATCTATGAGATTGACCCTACCAACGGCAGCTTCCACATTGTCCATGGATTCGAACACAAGACCGGTGTTCTCGGATTCGCAGAAACGGAGCCAGATCTGTTTTACACCGTCGCCGCTAACTTTTCCTTGGAGACCTTCGAAGGGGTCAGAGGAAGTCCCAGCCTTTACGAATTAGACTTTCGTCAGAGCCGCCAACGTACCGTGAACAAACTGTTGGACTTTCCAGGGGCTAAATTCTTCGACGGCCTCGCGACGTTGAACAGCGAGAAAGGCCTGTGAGTTTCCCCCCTCTGCTGATCCCCTGCATTAGCATTTTGACCATCCATTGACGGGTGTGAGCAGCTTGATCACCGGTGATGCAGCCACCGGTGACGTGTATGTGATTGACGTGAAGACCCGCACCTGGAGAATGGTGTACCACAGCCCCTCATTGAGCGGTAATTCCCTACTCCATATCGGCATTGACGGGATCAAAGTCTACGAAGATTACCTCTACTTCACCAACGCCGCCGAGCTCTTTTTTGCCCGAGTGTTAATCAACCGTGACACCGGCTTCTTTCGCGGCGATATCCAGGTCCTGATGAATCTCACATCGACCAATCTCTCCAGCCCGATTGACGATTTTACGTTTGGCCACGATGGTGCGGTGTATCTGACGGTTGCGCAGTCGGGTGTATACGTTGCGCATCCGCCGCTGTACGATGAGCCAGAACTCGTTACTCCTATCATTGGATCGACAGCGGTGGGGTTTGGCAAGACGGCGGGTGGGCTGCAGAAGCTGTATGTGACCAGCACGGGGGGAGACTTTGTATTCCCCAGTGGAGAATTTGTCAACCCGGCGCTTCTCAGTGAGATTCAAATCGTCTGTTGACGCGTATGACGAGTGAGACTCTTTCATCACATGCAGCTTAAGCATGAACTGGAGGGCCTGCTGAAACACAGAATCTGAACTCCATTCGTACATTCCACTCAACCGTCTGCTGTGCTCTCTTGAAATTCCCATATGGGATTCTTACTCTGGTATTTGATCTGCTAGAGGTCCCAAGATTAGAAGCTCTTCCGTCAAAGGACGGCAGAAAGTGCATGTAAAATTCTGAGTCTTCAGAGTGGAGTGTAAATGCCGAGACACGATATTTACTGTAATTGCCTTCTATCGAGGTCGATCCATCCTGGAGATTCGGCTTTACTACCGGTAAACCTACGACCGTGGAGTCCAACTGGCTAAATTCAATCTAGGATGGATCTCTATGAAGAAGCCCCTAGTTTTACTCACCCGCAAAGATGGGACTGTTCTGGGTGTCTGTGTGGAAGAGAGGACCTTTTCACACCCCTCCTGGACCTCTGTACTCATTAAACATATTGATGTATTGCTAAGGATAAAAACTACACCCATCTCAAAAACAGCACAACATATTGAATATAAATTTCCGTGGTGTTGAGGAATTTGATCAGGTAGGTTGGAAACAGACTTTGCGTGTGAATAGGAACTACAACTTCTGCAGTCTGGCCTCTATCAAGTCGATCGTGCTATCCAGGGCATAATCACTGGGAGCTTTCGTACTCCGCACCGCATTGGCCTGTGCACGGGTGATATACCTGGCCTCCACCGCTGGGTTGTATCCCAAACCACTCATCCTGGCCGCTTCGGTCTCATCAGATGCGACGTTGGTATTGCTCTTTCCATCAGCACGTTGGTACACCGTGACCACCACGGCCCCCCCCAACCCAATATTATGCTGCAAGGCCACCTTTGTATCCGGTACCAGGCGCCCGTTCGTAGCCACCCTCGCAGCTGCCAAGTGAGCTCGGCACACTGCGCAAGGCCCGTTGCACCGAGCGGGTGGCCCTTGGAGATCAGCCCCCCCGACGGGTTGACGAGAGGGCCCTTGCCTCCGTACGTGATATCTCCACTGCGGACTAAATAATGCGCTTTCCCCGTGTCGCAGAACCCCATCGCGTCCAGTGAAATGAGCTCGTTGGTCGAAAAACAGTCGTGTAGTTCACACACTCGGATGTCCTGAAGGGTGACGCCCGCCTCGGCCAATGCGGCCCGGGTGGCTCTTCTGGTCATGTCATATCCAACCAGCTCCATGGCACTGCCCGAGTATAGCAAGGGCCCATCGGACATGATCGATTGCCCCGCGATCAGTACGGCGTGGCTTTTTAGCTCAGGGTGCGCATCCAGGAACTTCTGGGAGACAACCACACCCGCGGCGGCGCCATCGGAAGTTGGAGAGCACTGGAGCTTGGTGAGGGGGTAGTGGATCATTGGCGACTTCTGGATGTCGTCAACGGTGTAGACCGTTTGGAACTGGGCGTATGGGTTGCGGGATGAGTGCTCGTGTGAGATACGCGCAATCTCGGCGAAATCCTGGGCGGTTGCACCATACCTAGCGAGCAGGGTGATCAGGGATGGCCCAGATTAGAGCAAAGATGGGAAGAGACAGGAACTCACCTCTCCATGTATTCTTTCCCCGCGTTGCCAAACAGCTGAGGGTTCTTCGGTAAGTCGGCCCACCCTCTCGTGGCCGACATCAACTTCACGCTCAGGTCATACGGGGTCGGCCGGTCCGTGATGTTGCTGACCAGTGGCCCGGCGGCCATCTGCTCAAAGCCAACAACCAGCACACAATCATGCAGACCGGATTTCACAAAGGTTCTAGCAAGGTGGAGGCCGGTGGAGCCACTAGCGCACGCGTTGTTGGTGTTGTAGATCGGGATATTAGTCATACCAAACTGATAAAACACCCGTTGCCCGGTACATGTCGGTCCGGTGGAAGTGTAACACGCGATTCCGGCTTCGACGTCGTCGTATGTAATGTGGGCGTCGAGCATGGCCTTTGCGCCGGCTTCAAATGCCAACTCGGTATATGGACGAGTGGCACGGGGCTTCAAAAACTGGGCCATGCCAACCCCGAGAACGTAGGCATTTCCCTCGTTTCCCTCCCTTGGTAGGACCATGTTGAAACGCAAGTAAGGCTAGATCGACGGTTAAACTCGATCAAACATGTTCTACACAACCCTCAAGAGAAAACCTACTTTTATAGAGTGAAGCCATCGAAAACCGAGCATGTTGAGGACCGCTCCTTACCGGTAATACCCGATGCACCTACTGTCAGGTACCAGTGTATTGTGTATTCTGGTAACATTACCGTCATACCCCGGTATTCGGTTTATCCTCATTCTCGGAAGCCGGATTACCGTCCAACGCATAACTGCTCAATGAAACATGGAATATATTATTTGCTTTGAGGACGTTGAGTGGCATACATCTATGCTACATAAACTCTGCTGCTTGTATATGCCATGCAAGCATCAGATTTTAGCCTTGCCCGGCAAAAAGGTCGGTCGACTATGAACGTAGCTGATCTGCTGGACTCCCCTATCCATCTCGCCCCAAAGCTCCGATCGTAGGAGAGCATAGACACTGTGATAGGTAGCAATTCTGCGTTAGTCAAAGTCCGACCAGGAATCGAGAGAGATGGTATCATACCCAGCCTTTGCTTTGGGGGCCCATTTGTTTGCCAGCCCCATGGCAACCCCGAGCATTCGATCTGGCTCGGCAATGGCGTCAACCAACCCGTCCTCCAGGGCCTCCACACCGGTAAAACGATGGCCCTCCAATAGCACCTTGCGTGCAACGCGTGGTTGCAATTTGAGCCGTGGGAGGATTCCCACCCCCGGGAAATACATCCCCAGATCGACCGGGGGCATCGAGATGAAGCCCCGTTTGGAGTTCATGACACGGTAGTCGTGTGCAAATGCCAGCGGACACCCTCCTCCGAAGGCATGGCCATTTACGAGGGCAATTGTGGGGAATGGAAAGTCCAAGATGGTATGCAACAACTAGAAATTAGATCGTGTCAGCTTCCCTACCTGCTTTCGGGCTGGGGTGCTCGCTACTAACCGGATAAAATCCATCTGCATTTGCATGCGGATTGCGTCTCGTTTCTTCCAGATCAAGGCCCTGGAAATTGAATTGTTAGTCTAGTCATCCAAGTGCGTAAATAATGGAGTTAATCTTTACCGTACAAAAGAATTTGGCGCCCTCCCCACGCGTAACGACGGCGCCGTTGGAGTTGGGCCCGAGCATCTCTCGAACGGTGTTAAAGACTTGAATCATCTCCTGGCAGAATTTGATGTTCAGTCGATTCTCAGCCCCCATCATCATCGTAATTATGAAGACGCATCCTTGCCTTTCCAGCGTCAGGTTGTCGAATGTTCCTATGCTGCGAATATCTTCCATTGTGAATGGGCTGAGATAACTTTGTGGATACAAGGCCAGCCGTATAGGAAATAGCTGCTGGATTTGTCATTGGTTTTGGGTTTTGACCTCAAAAAATTCGAACCATTCAATTCAGTCTCCCCTGTATATGAAATATGTCACGCATTGAGAGAAAATGGCTCGGTATTTCTGTGGAAAGCCCCGGGAAATATGCAGCGGCAGACCACCATATACCGAAAGCCGAGTTCCCCGGTTGGCTTTGTCACACGCACGTAGATGGCAATCTATGGATTATATTTCCGTGTTATCTGCCATTTTAACTCCTCAGCCCAATCTGCAACTCTCCTGCGACTAGGCAAAATGTCCGACTTTACCGATCATTTGCGGCCCAGTCATGACGGACCGGCGATCCTCGCAAAAGAACGAGCCCAGTCCAACATTCCGGTGGATGAATTGGCGCACCACTTATTATCCAAGGATGGACATCTCCAGCGTCAGGCCCGTATCCTGTCCATCTTGGAAAAGGAGCCCCTCTTTGACAAAAAATGCCAAGCCAATTTATCGCGAGAGGATCTGTTCAAGGTGGCTCTGGCCCGAGCCAAGCTGTTGAGACGGCTAGTCGACCGACATGGCTGGAGCCTTGAGGACTACAAGATGGCGGAGGCTTTGGTCGACGATGTCTCACCGTATTTCCTACACATGCACATGTTCGTGACAACTGTTCGGGAACAAGCGAGCGATACGCAACGCGACTACTGGATGCCGTTGATCGAATCATTCAAGATCATCGGTGCATATGCGCAGACTGAACTGGGCCATGGGAGCAATGTTCAAGGGTTGGAGCTACAAGCTCGTTGGGATCCAGGAACCAGCGAGTTCATTCTTCATAGTCCCACATTGACCGCCAGCAAATGGTGGAATGGGAGCCTTGGGCGTACTGCCAACCATGCGATTGTGGTGGCCCAGTTACTCCTACCGAAGCCAGGGAGTGAAGAATATGAATCAGTCGGGCCTCATCCATTTATTGTGCAAGTTCGAGATTTGAAACATCACCAGCCCCTGAGCGGGGTCGTGATTGGAGATATCGGCCCCAAGTTTGGGTACAGCACCATTGACAACGCGTATATGCTCTTTAATCATTTCCGGTATGTGGAAAGTCCTGGTCGTGAACGACGGCCGGCATGTGTTAACCCACTGTACTAGAATTCCCCATTCGGCGCTCCTCGCCCGATATTCCAAAATTGACCCATCGACGGGAGAGTACTTAAAGCCCAAGATTCCAGCGGTGGTATACGGGACCATGACTTACGTGCGATCTCTCATTGTTCTTCAGTCAAGACTAGCCCTTGCTCGTGCGGTCACCATCGCTGTCCGCTACACGAGCATTCGACGACAGTTCCAGGACCGTGACAACAGGCATGGCCTAGAAGTGACGGTTCTCGACTATCCAACGGTGCAAATCCGCATTCTTCCGTTGCTAGCAACCACATATGTGCTTCACTATGCCGGCCTTGCGATGCAGCGTACATACCAGAACGCGCGCAATGAGATTGAACGGGGTGATTTCAGCGGATTGGCGCATATGCACAGCTTGTCCTCGGGACTGAAGAGTCTGTGCACAGGGATTGTTGCGGATGGGATTGAGACCTGTCGCCGTGCGTTGGGGGGCCATGGCTACGGCGGTGCCAGTGGCTTCACTCGACTATCTCCGGACTATCTCTCGCGGGTGACTGTTGAAGGAGACAATTGGATGATCACGCAACAAGTTGCATCTTACCTTATTAAGCGGATGCAGACGGCTGCAAACAAGCTAGACGAGCCGACAGATGATGGCCTTGATGCCACCTATAAAGAGGTTCTTAAAGCTCACAGAGATGGACTGAAAATGGAGCCTTACAAGGTGTTTGACCATGACTCCGCCATTGTGAAGGCTTTCAACCGTCGAGCAGCGGCGCTGGTAGGTTCTTCGGCTCTGCAGGTTACCACCGGACTTTGCCTAACTACTTCTACTTCTAGCTGCATGAGGTCTATGTGGCGAGAGTGTTGAACAAAACTCCATGGACGAGTCTTATGGTCCAATTGCACCGAGTCAGCCACGGTACGTTATGACACCCCATAGTGCACTGGCTAGCTATCGGAGGGCGCATCTAATATAAATCCAGCCCAGTCACTTGCATTGCTAGTGGAGATCTTTTACGATACACTCAACAGTGATCAGTCCCTAGCTCCACCCATCAAGGTCGCCATGTGGAACCTGTATCGGCTCTTTGCGTTTTATCACATGCAGCAAGAGAGCTATGACTGTAAGTCTGCCTTTCTAACCCAAGGAATATTGATCAGAGGAGGTTCTTGTCTAACTGAGATGACAGTCTACCGTTCCGGTGCAGTCTCCCAAAACGATCTCGACGGGTTCTCAACCCACGTACAACATCTGATGGAGAAAATCCGACCCCACGCGGTTACATTCGTCGATGCGTGGATGATTCCAGATTATCTGTTGGACAGGTGTGTTTGGCACCTTTACTTCCCTTACTTCACTCCCTCAGTTTCATGACAGGCTGACCGTAATAAGTGCGCTCGGTCGATACGACGGGAAGGTTTATGAAGACCTCTACTACCGGGCACATCGTTTGAACCCACTCAATCGGATTACCGTCAATCCCAACTACTGGGAAGATGAAATTGTCAAAGGGGAAGGAAATAGCTGGGCGTCACTTTTGGCCAAGTTGTGAACGAAGCAGTCATGGGCACGGGTGACCGCCCTTTGTGAACCCGAACTCTTGTTAAAAAAAAGACATATCACAATTTCCTCTCTTGGGAGCGAAATTGGTAGTGAGGAGTGCCAAAGGTTTGTTGGTTTCTGCTACTCCGCAAGATCCTTCGCATGTTAATGCACACATTGTGAATCCCAGTCACTATATACTTTTTGTATGCTCAGGGCATTGTAGCAAGGCGATGGGAGAAAAACCTCTGCGATAGTTGTCAATGGATCGTTGGTAAAAGGTCACTAGAGCACTCCTCAGTTGCACGGCACATCACAAAAAAAGCCCTGTTCCAAAAACATGTGTGTCTACTTTTATACTGTCATTTTGAGCAACAAGAACATATTTTAGCCAAGGACTGCAGTTCTGATACGCAACGGGACTGCCTATCCTAGTGCTTGCACGCAGTGTTGGGAACGAGTAGAGGTTATGGTCATTTCATCAAGGTTGAAAGATAGTAACTATAAATAGCATTTGTCTCATTTGTTGTGTAGGAAGTGGCCCCTATCGTCCGCTGTAGCCATGTCTGGGCCGCGCAGTTGCAAGAACAGATGAGTAAACATAATGTCCATACGAATTCTCTCAAGTTGTTAAATAGTAGTAAATGCGTGGTCTCTCAGAATCTGTCTCCGTATCCATCTGATTTTGTCAATAGGATTACCTTTCCCCGTATCAACATAATTCGTCTCTGTAGCAGATGATCAAGACTGGAGTACTTCATTCACGGTTTGCGTGTCCTATTCCTATCTGTTAACATCCACGAGCCCCAGATCTCATTAACGATACTACGGTATTTGCCGACATACCACAAAGACGTTGAAGAATCGGATCCTAGGGTTTGCGCTGCCTGGGTCATCGATCACTACCCGGCCGGCAAAGTCATCATCAAACTCTCTACCGGTTTTCGTGCGCACCTCGAAGTGGCCGATGAAGACGAAGTCTCGGTCACTATTGGCGTACACACGATTGAAGACATGTCGCCGGTGCTCAACCCGCACCCACGCGTTTTTGCGAGCTTGCCGGATTTCTTTTCAAGTCAGTTGGATAGGAATCCCCCATTGAAGGAAGCTGACTGATGCAATGCATACCGGCAGATCCCGTGGCGGCTCCCGAGTATGCCCCAAGATATCCATCCGGGGTAAATACTTCATCGGCCAGTCGGTCGCCTACATTGTCCGATTTGTCGTCCAGGAGATCAAGCAAGCGTTGGAGGATGTCTTTAGTTGGTTTCGAGATTTTGACGAATTCGGGCCACACTGTGGCAGCACTCATCTTCGCTTTGCCGTCGGCCATGTTGATGTTTAGGGAGGAAGGAGTTAAAATGGAGTTTTCAGAGGCGCGCGACTTGAGGGAAAGTGGAAATTTGCTCGCCGCAAATGCTGTTGTCAAGGAGATTCCGTTTTATCTTCATACATAAAAGCTCGGCAAATAAGCTCAACCCGCTCACTTGGGAAACACGGGAAACACGGGGAATGCCGAAGATGTACACTGGAAATACCGACCCGCTTACAGCGGTATGTATGGCTCGTTTCAAGATACACCGAAAGAGTTTGCGCGAGTGTACAGCAAGCCTCGTCCAACTTCAGGGATATTAAAGTCGAAGGGTGGGATGAGCGTTAGAAAGCCGAGGGAGCAGCCCATCTGTATATTAAGATACTTCCTATGGTGAAGTATAGGCGCCTGCTTATCCTGGCCGAGCTAACCGTATTGCAAAATGTCTCCGCCACTGGAAGGTTTGCGTGTCATCGAGCTGGCAGGACTGGCCCCAGGTTTGTTTTCCGATTCCCATCATACCTAGGTATCTAAGATATCGCTGGCTAACCTCACCAGGCCCCTTTGCCGGCATCCTTCTTGCCGACTACGGCGCCTCCGTTCTCCGCGTGGATCGTCCGGGGATCGCCACTACCCCCACAGTCGATCCTCTGACGCGACGTAAATTGTCCGTCCAAGTCGATCTCCGCGATCCATCCTCCCGAGAAATCCTCTTTGCGCTTCTCCAATCCGCCGATATCCTGATTGATCCATTCCGTCCCGGGGTTCTCGAGCGTCTCGGCCTCTGTCCGTCCACCGTGCTGTTGAAACACAACCCCCGCCTCATTATTGCACGGATGACCGGTTTCCGTCGCGATGGGAAGTACCAAGATATGGCGGGGCACGATATCAATTTTATCGCCGTTTCTGGTGTCCTGTCCATGCTGGGCCGCGCCGGCGATTTGCCGTATCCCCCAGGGAACATTCTTGGAGACTTTGCCGGGGGCGGTGCGATGGGTTTCTTGGGCATTCTGTTGGCCCTGGTGGCACGGAGCGTCACCGGTCGTGGGCAAGTAGTCGAGGCCAACATGGTGGATGGCTCTGCATATCTGGCCACTGGACCCCGGCTTTTACGACAGGGTCCGTTATGGGATGAACCCAGGGGGAAGAACCTTCTCGACGGGGGGTGTCCCTATTACAGTGTCTATGAAACCAAGGATAAGGGACGGTATTTTGCTGTGGGGGCAAATGAGTCTCGGTTCTATGAAAAGCTCATCCAAGGGCTGGGACTGTCAGTGGCTGAGCTTCCAGACCGGGAGGTCAAAGCCCACTGGCCCGTGTTGCGATCCATGTTTCAAGAGAAATTCTATGAAAAGACGCGAGACGAATGGGAAGCGGTCTTTGACGGAACAGATGCGTGCGCGACGCCGGTGTTAGAACAGGATGAGTTGGAGACAGATCACTTTGAACAGCGCCTGCCGGTACGTCTGGTCGACACCCCGGGTCTTCCCATCCAAACCGATGAGGGAGGCTGGTCCGGCGGCGGTTTAGTGCCTGGCCATGGGACACAGGAGATCTTGGCATCGTGGATGGGTTGGGAGTATGAAAAGGATTTCAGCATAAGGGAACATGATGGCGCTCTTACCCCGGCTCATGGGAGTTTGAAATCAAGGTTCTGATCCTGATTCCTCGCACATTAGCTTGACAGTAATACTTGTGCTAGTATGTGTGCAAATACTAAAAATAATTCCATACGATTCACGTTAGACTCAGCCCCTGATAATCCTATTTCCTCAACGGGGTAACCATTTTTGCATTCATGGGAACGCCAAGTAAGTCCGCTTCAGGACTCATCTGGTAATGTTGGATGTTATTCTCGCTCAACAAGAGGGAATCCTGCATACAGGATCATGGAAGGTAGGGAAACTGAAGCTAAGCATGGGAGTAGACAGACAATGGTTTGTATTCGGGTTACAAAAAGATTAGGTTTCGGGGCTGACTTGGAGTTTTGCCCTTCAACATTGGAAAGGCAGAAGATGCGGGGTGCCAGCGACCTGATTCCTTGGCATTGACTGACCTCGAGGGTCATTTAGAGCTGTGTTGCTACCTTGTTCACTGATATCTTCACAATTGCCCTCTCCAGTCCTCCTGACCGATATTGAACTTCAGCCTCTCCACCCACCGACCCACCCATTTAGCCAATTCTAAAAACCAAGACCAGCTTCAAATACGGTCAGAATGACAAATGCAAAGCCGACTCGCTATATCACTGGGTTTGGCCCCAACATGGTATCTTCTCCTGATCTCCACTACCACCATCACGAAGGCTTTACCTATTCACGCCTTTATGCTGTCAACAGCATCGGCCTTGGCATGCACAACGATGAGGATTTGAACCAGTACGTGTCTGTTGATGGTACAGGCGTTTCTGTGTCACAGGCCAACCGTGATATTGTTGTTCCTGGGGGGGTCAATTTTATTCAGGCCGAGTTGAGCCCGTCCGCTGTCTTTCCATGGCATCGAACTGACTCGGTGGACTTCGTTACGGTTGTGAAAGGCCAAGTGGAGCTAGAGGTTCGGGGAAAGGATGGAGACACAAAAACACTCCTACGGGAGGGGGTGGGCCATTTTTCTTTCTAGCAAGATCGTCTCACACCCAGCTAACGGTCTACTTCAGGACTCGGTGGTTCAGCGAACGACAGTTCACCGGTGGATCAACCCTTCCCCAGACGAAAGTGCGCGCCTTATTGTCACTACAGTCTCTTGTCAATCAAGTAGTGATCGGGATGATGACACCTACTTGATGCCGTGAGGCTATCTTTCGGTCGATAATGTTCAGTTAGGAGTAAAGAAGATCGCCATTGCTCATAGCAGTGTTGTCTCTATTTTGCCTTTTTTCCCTTTTCTAATCTGCCCTGTGAGCTCGGTGATTATTCCCACTAGTCTACCCACAGACATTTGACTAAGGCTGATATCTAAGATATGTGCCTAGCATTTATTCTATAAAAGCGAGATTATACATAGCCTAGATTAATGTGCACTAATATTCTATGGTATGCTTTTTCTGCGCTCTTCCAGTATATCGAATTACCCCGAGGTATGTTTCACGCTTCCTCGACCTTACTACGTTCGAGAACACGCCTCGTTAGTTTACTTTAGATGATCTTCGTATCCCGGGTAGCTACAAATGTTGTCTAATGCAGAAGTACAAATAAGCTTGATGGAAGCCAGAGATACACGCACGACAACCATCGCAAGAGAAAATGAACCTCATTAACCCCTCTGCCCGTGGAAGCCCTGGGGCGACCGATTGATAAATTTTCAATTGTGTCTGCCGTACAGTAGCACTAAGCTCATCTACGCTGCCTTTGTTGCATTCCAGCATCGTTTCCCGCTTTCTTTAAACCACTTAAGTGCCAGCTTAACTAATGATGTCGCCTGAAGTCCCCCCCCCCCCCCCCCCCCCACACCTTAACTCAAGACTAAGCTGCATGGGAAATGGTGAGGAACTGGTATTGTTGCTCCCCTGCCTTCGAGCCGTCGGTAAAGTCATCTAAATCCATGTCATAATACCCTAGTGGCGCCTCCTCACGATTGACCACTGCAAAGCATCTTCCTAAAACCATGCAACCAGCTTTATTAATATTCATTTTGGCAAATAGTCCTTTGATCTCTCCACGAACCATTTATAGATTTGTCGGAGGCGATATGAAGCATTGCATCCGCCGCATCCTTAGCATTTGCAAATTTGACCCCCTTCGAGTGGAGGAATTGTATGACTTCCTTGGAGACAAAGTTCGTCTCCACAAACCTGTGGAGTTTTGCGTTATCATTCAAGGTTCCTTTCAAACACATGTTATGTGTCTTACCATGGTGCAAGAGCACAAGCGCGAATCCCATCGTGGACTGTTCCCCGGCGCAGAGCCCTCATTGCTCCTCGTACGGCGAACTTAGACATCATGTATACAAGCCGCCCAGGAACATCCGCGTAGGCAGCTGCGCTAGACAGCACAATCAAACACCGATCACGGCCTGATGTAAGCTCATGCTGCAAAAAGTAGAACCTGGCAAGTTTACAGGTATAGGCAACACCGACGACATTGACGTTCAAGATCGTGAGGTCAGGAGCGCTGGGCTCGCCTCCAGTATCTGACCGATTGATTAGTTATGTCAAGTAGCCCATATATAGCAGTAGACACGCAGAGCCGAACCTTCGCCTTTTAAAATTGGGTCAGTTCCGGAGATACCGGCGTTGGCAATCGCGATATCGACCGTTTTGCTCGGGGAGTTCTGTTTCGCCGCTTTGAACAGTCTCTTTTGAGATTCGAAGTCGGTCACGTCGCATTTCACAAATTGCGCGTTACTGTAGATAAAAGTCAGTTTTCTCCTTTATTCAGCAGTGGTCTCGTCAAATTGTACTCACGGTCGCAATTCGCTTTGGAGTAAGAGCCCCGATGTCTCATTCAAATCGCCGAAGGTAACATATGCGCTGTAGATTTCAACGTCGATTAGCGCTATATCATCCACGGGTCAATTAAGCTCTACCCTGCTGCGGCAAATGCTCTCGTGGCTTGTTCCCCCATGCCACCGGCTCCTGTGCAGAGGTCAGTAGACAATACCATTACCGGATGAGTGAGCTACTTCCCTCCTGTGATAACGACACTCTTTCCCGCGATACTGGCGAGGCTTGGAGGAACTGTGCAGTCCACGACACCTGCAGCATAAGCTGGATACATATTACTCGACATTTTCGATAGTTTCAGAAAGTTTAATGATCTGAACAACACTTCATGATTGTATAAAAAGTATTATATGCACATATATCTAGCCTTTATTGTGACAAGTTGTCAAACAAGGGACCGTGTATTATCCCGATGAAAAGCCGTGCTTGCGTGAAGACCGAAGTCGACGTACGCAATACACCGCTTGATTAAAGTTAATTAAATTTCCCGATCAGAACCGATTTCGGATGACCAGTTGGTAATACCGAAACATGCGTATTCATCTTGCGGTCGGGTATCATTGTCCGGCAATAAATCTTTAGGTGTTGTAGCCATCAATGTGGCCGGGTAATCTGCAAAAGCATTAAATTACAGTAAAGCAAACCACGACTGAGGTAGCTTCAAGGTCGCAGCCAGTCTATCGTTGGACATAACCACTAAAGGTGGACAAAACTTAGAGGACATAATGATGTCTGCTGTTGCTCCAAAGAAACACCACGGTTCTAAGCGTGCTCCTATGGCCTGCCAGTACTGCCATGATCGCAAAGTCAGATGTGATCTAGCTATCTCCGGTTCACCATGCACAAACTGCCGGCTTGATATGGTCAAGTGCTTCAAGCGATTTTCTACCCACAAAAAGCCACCTCGGAAGAGACTACAACTCCAGGGAGTCCAACCCAACCTCCCGAGTCAGGATCACTCTTTACAGCAGACCACCAACAAAGGTGAGACCCATCTTGTCTAAAGCGATGTAACAGATTGCTGCGTGTGCTCATGCTGAAACTAGGAAGTTCAAACCTGCCATTCTCTTATTACTCCTTCGTTCAATTTTCGCGCCTCGGTCAGATTAAAGAGTGTGATGTTTTGCTACTAGAATCACGGGGTTGCCTCCATCTACCGAGTCAGTCGGTGTTAGAGACTTTTGTCAGACACTATTTTCTTTACGTGCACCCTACCTTGCCAATTCTCGATGAGACAAAGTTTTGGCATATATTTCGGCAGCGGCATAAGGTTCACGAGAGAATTCCGTTGGTGCTGCTACAGGCAATGCTGTTTGCAGCTGCTGCGGTATGGCCAATAACATCTCAAATGAATAAGTGATATGTTTTTATACTGATCTATAACACCAGTTCATACCCCTCGAGGTTGCAAACCAGTATGGGTCGGCCTCGTTGGTCGACGTCCGGGATTCTATATTTCACAAAGTGACAGTATGTTCCCACATTGTACCCTCGACATTATATATACTAAGCAGCACTACAGTGGCTCTACAGTATGAATGTGGACGATGACCCCGTCGTAATGTCCCAAACGGCCTTGCTACTAAGCTACTACAACACCCACAGGGATACGAAAAGCAACTCAACATGGCTTGGTATTGCGATCCGACATGCACAAGCGGGAAACGCAGATCAGTATGACATACTCTCGTTCTCAGATGACAGAGAACGTCTCAAACGATTATGGTGGTCTTGTATTCTGCGGGACCGGATGATTTCTCTGGGAACGCGCCGTCCATTACAGATTTTGGATCCCCGGCTGCCAAGTCAGAAGGACTTTCTTTTTTTTGATGACCTTAAAGAGGAGCCCAGTGGCTCTGAAGTTTACAACTCAAACACAAAGATGGCTATCAATTCGCTGATCTCGTGGCAGTGTGAATTTGCTGTCGTTGTCACGGATATTCTGGCCATGTTGTATCCGGGCTCACAGAGCCTGAGGCTTAGAAGCCTACGGATTATGGATGACCAGTGGAGTAAGCTGGAACAACTGAAACATGATTTTAGCTGCTGGAATGACCGCTTCGTGAGCTGGGCACAGTGTCAGGGCTCTTTGGCCCACCCCTCAATCAAGCTTTTTATTTGCTCGATATCAATCCATTCCCAGTATGCCAGAACTTCCTTGATCCTCTCGTCGCATCTAACAGAGCAATGCAGAACAGTGCGCCTGGCTCTATGTACATACACTTCACGTATCCTGTCAGAATGTGAAGCTGTTCGTTCACAGAAATCTCGCCTCAAAGGGTATGGAACCGAGCTTCAAGGTGGTCTTTTCAAGATGACCGAGGAGGTCAAAGAATTGATCGACTCAAGAATGTCGGAGTATCTTCCGGTCAGCGTGTATGTTGAGCATCCCAATTGTGCTGCTGTGAAACCCTTCTTTGCCCGCTAATGTTACCGTCATTCCAAATAACAGAATGGCATTTACCGCCTTGCCAATGATTCTGTGGGGCATCAGCGTTGCCGTCTCTGGCGAATCAATTACACAGCATCAGAATGCCATTAAATTTTCTCTTTTCAAACAAATGAGTTACATTTACAGCCTGCGATACGATACAATGCACCTCTCCGCGGTTGTCCAGCGGGTGGTTCAGCTGATCAAGCCCGCGCTGATGACAACAGTCTTAGGTGCAAAGAGCGACAACATGGCAACCTCATTCCTCGATATCTTGATGCGGCACCCTCAAACGTTTTCCGAGCTTTGTTTGTACCTTGATGTACTACTCTCTGCAGATGACAAGACAGAGGCACCATACCCATTGGACCCCTCCAGGATGACCCCTATTTTCGGACAGATTCAAAGGCCTATGCCAGGCTCTTCTGATGTTCATGCACCTACAAATTCAGGCCTGCTAGAGGTAAAGTCATCGACAGCGAATTTCAACGAGCTGGGTCCACTTTATCCAGCATTCGAACATCCTTTAGAAAGTTGGGAAGAAGCAGAGAACTTCAATAATGGCGAGGAGATGGGGGGAGTTGACCACAAATACTCGGGCATTCCCATATCCACAGTCGAATCACCGCCAGAGTTACCGGAGCCGGAAGAGTTTGGTCAATTTCTTACTTACTTTACACATCTCGGAGAGTGACTACAACTGGTCTGCCTATCTTTCTGGGGTCATATTGCGAGCGTTCCAAATCCCGGAATGATTTAGCTCTCAGCAACGCTTATTGTATCCACACAAAACACGCATTTTGCCATTTCCACCTTCTTGTCACCGCACTGTTTCATGATCTCCAGCACTACCAAGAAAGCGCAAAGCAGCAATACAAAGACTAGAAATATCTTTACCACCTCTCCCAAAGGAGCTTCTTCTTATCCTTATCTCCCAAATCGACTCGCCTCTCCCGCATGTACCAACCGCACATTATACGATGACGTGATTCCACACCTCTATGAACGCAATGCAACATGTTCCCAAGGACCAGCCTTAGTATATGCTATCCGACTTGGCCTGTTTCCTACCGCACAGAAAGCCGTGCCAACCAAAACATGCCCCCATTGGCAGGTTCGGACAAGCGTCCTTTGACGCACTTTGCAGCGATGAAGGGCCATGCCGCTCTTGTCGAACTACTACTTGACGCGTATATAGAGAGAATCTATAGTATATTTCTACTGTAATAAAATAATTAGATAATATCTATCTTGTATTGGTATATAGAGTCCAATATCAGAATTATAGATCTTTAATCCAAATATTTTTATCTAATTTTGTTAAGTTTATAGAAAGATTTAAAAATATTAACTCTAGAAATAGATAATAAATAAAAATTTACTAATTAGAAATTTCAGTCTATAGTTATTACTTTCTGTAATCCAGAAGGAGTCGTGATATGTATATTGATATTTTCAAAGTGGGGCCGTCTATCTATAGTAAATCGATTAAAGTTTTGTATCCGATAATATAGATAATTTTATAATATATTTAAAGACTATAACTATCTCGACTAGATAGAATTATCCAAAATTAAAATATATTAGAATATATAATTTGAATTAATAGATACTAATTTTGAAATTAAAAAAATTAATAATTTATAATAACAATAATAGTAGATCTATATCAGTTAGTTTAATGTTACGCCCGGGGATCTGTCCAAGGACTCTGCGACCAGTTAGCGATCTTGGTTAGAAGCGACTTATTTAGTTGGTTAGAATCTACTAGTAACCGATTAAACAGATAAACTGATATTATCCGAATAATATCAACAATACTATAACAAATAGTCCAAGATAAAAAGACCAGACTAATTAAGTATATATATTCAATTATTAGATAATATAAATAAATTAAATTAATATAAATTTTAAATATAGCTATCAAGTAACTGAGTAGATTAATTACAAAGAACTAAACTAAGTATATAAAAGAGTATTCTTATATATCCTTAGTTCTTGTATACTATATTAGTCTATAATATACTATATAATCTATATATATCTTATTAATATATTATATATTATCTCTTGATATATATACCCTTATATAACCCTTATAAATATTTAATATCTATTATACTGCGCAAAGAGTATATCTGTAATTACCAGATTGATATATATCCTTCAGTATTACTATACTAATATCGAGAGATCTTATTATTATAGCTGATCTAATATTAAATTCTTAATATTATTATAGTTACAATATTTCTTGTTCTATAATATTCACGTGCCGGAATATTATTATCTGAATAATATTCTACTATTAATAATATTTACTGCTTCTATTATTACTGTAACCAGTATATTATCTATTAGTACCGCACTAGACCGGGATCTATAATATATAGTCAGTATATTATCTATTAATACTATATTAGATCAAGATCTATAATATTATTTTTTCTTTTCTAAACTTTTATTCTCAAAAATATAAATTTATAGCTTTTTTTTTTATAAAATTTTAGATTTTTTCTTCTATAAATTTTAATTTTTTTTATAATATTCTACTATATCTCTATATAATTGATATAAAAAATATTATTAATAAGGTAACTATATTATTTATAATAGTATATAGATTAAATCTTCTTATTTTTAATATTATTTTTATAATTTTTCTTATTTTATAAATTTAAATAATTAAAACTATACTATACCCTAGTACCTGGCACTTGTACTGTTGAGTGCGGTTTCTCGGCTCTAGATTGGCTATATTTTAATATTTCTGTGTGTACCCGTCGGGGAAAATATATAATAATCTATCTATCTTCCCGCAAAAGTAACCCGATATCTTGTTATCCCTATTAGTCAGTTAATATTAGCGACTCAGGACAGAAGATTAGAAGAGATAAGAATTACTATCTATTCTGGGAAGATATTGCGGAGGATATAGTAAGATATAGAGAGATAGAACACAATATAACTCCCGGAATATAGATTATATTACTAAGTATTATAGATTATAAATCTAAGTATCTATACAGTATATTCTGAAAATAAAAAGAATAGATTTAAATTCTTTTACTATTAATTAATTAATTTTCTTTTCTTTTTTTTCTTTTTTAATTGTATATAGAATCTATATAATTAGATTAATTAAAAATAGATCTCTTTTTATATAATATTATCTATTATATCTAGATTTATACTCTCTATTAATATATACTCTGTCTCTATTATCTAATAGTCTATCTCTATCAGTACTATATAATATATCTGACTACTGTAATATCTAAACTCCGCGAGATAGTATTAATAGCTATATTTTAGTAACTATAATTTAATTCTGTTTAAAAGATCTATATATATCTATTATCTAGTAGTTCCCCGATCTAGAGTCTATCTATTTTTTCTAGAATTAAATACTATTATTATTACTATATCTATCGATTAATTAATAGTCTATAGAATTATATCAGATATATATATCTGAAAATAAGATAGATTAATAAAAAATAGAGATTTTCTGTTACTGTAGCAGAGTTATTAAATTAATTAATTTTTTATCAGTAATTTTTTTTCTCTATGGCTGATAGTCTCTTCTTTGAGATCTGATTATTTAGATAAAATAGACAGTTTTTTTAGTAATCTCCTAAAATAAATTACGCGGTATTTATTTAAGTATAGATAAATTTAGAGTTTAATTATAATTTAATAGTTAACTAGATTAATAATTAATAGATCTCTATTCTGTATAACTGTACAGAGATCTCTCTTTAATTAGAATTAATATAGTAATCTAAGTATCTCTATAGCTATTTTTTTCCCGCGGTAACTGTTCTAGTGGCTCTATTCTATCTGTATTAGGAGTTATTACTAATACAGTTTATCTAGAGTATTATTTAATTGATTAACTGTATATACTATATAATTAAAAATTATTATATAAATAAATTTGACTAGATCTAGATTAACAGTTTCTATCCGCGGTCTAATATTTAAAATTATCTACTCTAGATCTATCTAAAGCTGTTAATATATTAGTAGTATCGGTAGATATAGCAGTATTTTATTTATTTTATCTACTGTATTAACTGTTTTAATTAAACTATTATTCTTTACTATTAGCTGACTACAGTTTAGCTGGTTATTTTTAATTATATAGTAGCCGCTATCTAATATTTTCTGTGGAAGAAGAACAGTTTATAGACTGCTGTCTATATCCAGATTAATTAAATATATTTAGATTTTTTAATTATTCTTCTTAACTACTCGCTGAAAAGAGATCTTTTTAAGAATATAATTATTGGTTTTCTGACAGTATTGAGTATTGATATTATTAATCGGATCTTCTATAAGCTGTACAGATATATAGACTATTTATTTAGGCTAGTAAAGATAGTATAGATATTGATAGTTAAGTAGACAGTTTAGATAGTTAATATCGATAAGATAGTATATCTGGTAAATATATTAAATATTATATAGAAATATTTTCTTATTTATAGTATCTAGATATTCTTCGGCTGGATAGTCTGTCTGTATATATATAGAAAAAAGATATAGAATACTATTATAAATTAGAAATATATCTACTGGAGTAAGAATAAGTAGATACTGATATATAAAAAGCTGCGATTGATAATAATAGAACTATAATATTTTATTTAGATAGAGATAAAGATAGTATAGACTAATTTTGAGAAGCTATTTCTAATCTATACGGAGAAGAATAAGATATATAAAATAGTAGTTCTGCTGTTTTAACTCAGTAAACTATAGAATAATTTAATAAATAATTATTAGAAATAGAACTTTTTATAGTATATATCTAATTGGGCTATACTCGCGATAGATAGACTCTATTAACTGATAAATTAGATATTAATAGACTAGAAGCTCCGGGAGAAATTTATCGATATAGAGATAAATAAGATATAGATAGTATAGTATAGCTGTACTGTCTATTACTATTTTTAATAGATAGATTATTTTCTGAAATATCTATTTCTACTAATCTATCTGACTATAAATCAGTTAAAATAGATAATAGAGCTACTTAGTCTATAATATATTAATACTGTCTATAATTACTATTGTAATCTTTTTATTAAGAATAGTTTTATTAGTACTGTTACAGTATATTACAAGAGCTACTTGATAAGTAATTTTATTAAGATTATCTACTATTATCTCTTCTGTCTGGTTAATAAGCTGGTAGTATACTATTTTTAGCTAATTCTATTTTTTATATAGATACTGAAATAATAGCTGTATAGCCGCTAGAGTAAGGTCTCTTTTTTTCTCTGGCCGCGCAGTGAGAAGAGCTGGGATCTGGATTGACTGTATACTGTTCTACAGTGGGAGATCCAGAGCCAGCTGTAGACAAAGATAAATATTCTTTTATACTGCCACGCCGCTATCGCTATCTCCCGGGTCCACCTCAAGTGCGGTGGCTTCAAGCGTGACTACGGCGTCGACCAGCCGGCGTACGACGAGCAGGCCAACCATGGTTCCTATACCCTAGTCCGCGCCGGAACCAGCCCTTGTTCCGCTCTCGCACCGTGTGATTGGTCAAATTTTGATGTTCTGCTATATATCCGCGGCTCTGTGTGCATGGCAATTGATCTGCTCTACTAATAACTACTAATCTATTTATTGTCTCTGTGTATCTAATAATTATCTATCTTATTTTTATCCTCTCTC